AAAAAAAAAAAAAAAAAAACAGAAAAAGGGTACCTTTAGTCGACTGTATTAGCTTTTGCGCTCGTCAATGGAGAACCTTGAGTCGGTCGATTAACTTTGTTGTGTTCGGGTCTATACCTCATAACTTGGTTAAACAGTATTAGCTTACTAGCCATCTCTTAAAATATAGCTTATATATTTATATAAGTACCTTTAGAATATCAGGTGATATTGAATTTGGACCACTGCTGGAGAATGGAGCCACTATAGGCGCTGGTTTGGCGCCAAGGAATGTTGTAGCCGGCACGATTTTCACCTTTGCTTTCTTCGTGGATTTTATGTATTCCATGATTTTGAGGGCGCTGCTATAACTGACTGAAGTAGCCGGAAGAAAATGGGCATCGGCGAATATAAATTGGTTCCCATCGGTTTCACTGTTTCCGAAAATGGCACCAATTCCTCCGGCTTCTTTCACCCAAAAGCTTTTTACATATTGTTTATTTTGTCCACCTCCCGAACAAAATACGATTTTTCCCTTGGTTTTTTTGGGAGAAAGCGAACCCTTTCCACATTGCCTGCGCAAAGTAAATTCACCGAATGACAGAGGCAAACAGTTTGCTTTTGTTACTAAGATAAACACTCTGAGTTCCAAATTAATCAATTCTTTATTGTCTTCCAAGTAGTTCTATATATACACTAATCACATTCGATACAAACTACTGATCTGTTCAAACTTAAGGTGCTAAAATTGACGATGACACCTGAAATGATGGTAAACTTGGTAATAAAAATCGAATTTAACAAACAAAAAGACATTGTTAATTGGAGTATGTAAAGAGACTTAACCCAGACTCGTTCTTGGGTACGCCACTTTTGCTCACTTGATCCGCAGAAACTAATGGATAGAACTCATTTTTCAACTTCAACAAAGTTGTTGACTGACCCTGTGTGACACAAAATAAACAAAATCATAGATAGTTATTACTTAAGCACAAATGATGCGTCTATACTTCACTATCTGTCCAGCCGTTACACAGGTATATATATAACTTTTGTTTAGATTTTTAAGGTATGCCATTTGATTTTGAGTTGTATGCATATGCTTTTGCAATAATACGTCTGTCTAACGATTTGGCAGCCGGCCAGCTAACCAGCCTAGCAGAAGATCTAATGGTGGTTAAAATTACCGGGATAGTGACGTTGTTCGCTAAGACGGCCGGCGACGGAAATATCCTGTCGACAGTGCTTGCCCCGACCGTGATAGCCCACGGGCTCAGGTTTGCGACGGTAGACGGGTTAGGCCCATCGTTCCCTGCACTGAAGGCGACTACAATGTTCGCCCTCGCCGCGTGGAGGGCGCCGATTGCTAAGGCATCCGTATCGAACGTACGGGACTTGCTATGCATCGAGATGCACAGGACGTGGACCCCGTCTACTATGGCGTCGTCGAAGGCGGCGAGGATGTCCGCGTCCGCCTGGGTTTCCCCGTACTTGTCAATACTCCACACCACCTTGTAGACTGACAGACGGGCCAGGGGAGCGCCACCAATGGCGGCGCCCGGGGCGAAACCCCCAGGCGCCGACACATTTTCGACCTTCCGGCCCAGGGCTGTGGATGATATGTGAGTCCCGTGCCCGATCGTGTCACGGGCCGAGCGATAGTTGAACGTCGTGTTCAGTGGGCCGTACTCTGCTTCGAAACCCTTGAGGTAGTACCGAGCGCCGATGATCTTTCTGGACCAAACAAAAAAAAAAAAAAAAATGAAGATCAAGAGACTGCACTGCATGAGGATTTTTTACCACAAGGGTTGCAAACGTGTTCGACTCGACTTGTGAAAAAAAAAAATGGTCGAGCTCGATATGACTCGTGAAAAAATAAGAATGCTTGAGATCAAGGGCAGATCTAGCTCATAAATTAAGTGAGGGCCTACTTTATTTATTTATTTTCAAATATAATAACCAAAGTATAATAAAAAAAAATACATTCATTTTTTACTCTCATGAGTTTTAATAACCAAAGTATAATAAAAAAGAAAATATATATATATCAAACTTTTAAATTCCTAACAATTTAAGTTATCAATCTCGCAAAAATTAAAGTATATAATATTAGTTTATTAAATCGTCAAGATACAAAAATATTAAATACAAATGCTAGAAATATGAATAAGTCTTTATTCTTTTCAATCAAATCTAAAAGAAACGGTAAGATTTACTCTCACCAAAATTTAGTATTTGTTTGTACAAAAAAAAAATAAATAAAAATATTAGTATTTGTTATCTCTTTATTTCCCCATGCTCTTTTTTGTGCTTCACATGATATTGTTTCTCAAATTTTTATTAACATGTTTCCGTCATTGTAATTTCGTAATTTAATCAAGTATTTGCTATCAATTTAGTTTTAATTAATGGATTATTAACCTATCTAATTCATTTAATTTATTCATTTATTTTCAGCTGTGTGAGCCTAGGCCCACACTAAGCTTAATTTGGATACGCCTCTGCTTGAGATCGACTCAATGCTCGACATGGATCGTCGAGTTTACGAGCCCCTAAAATGATGCTCGAGCTCGACTCAATGCTCAACATGTATCGTTGAGCTTACGAGCCTCTTGAAATGATGCTCGAGACATGAATTGTTTTCCCGATTGAATTGGGAGAGCTCGCGGTGGAGCATTGACTCGAGCGCTCGTGAGCATCTCCTGAGCCGCTCGACTCGTTTGCAGCGGTAATCAACACATACATGTAGATGTGTGAAAATACTGTCATCACAGGCAGTGTCGTGTCTGATGCTAGGGAAAGAATATATATATACCTATTGCAATGTGAGGAGTTGAATGCATCGCCTGGTTGACAAATTCCTTTCCAACAATTCGGTATGGGATCCATCCCGTTATCGTTGAAGCTTTGAGACTCCGGCCACACGCCTTGTTAAGCACCAATTTTCCACGAAAGAACAAACATTTCATAATAAATTTATGCGAATGTTACATTATAAATCCAAACAAGATGTAAAAATGTGCAGACTTTTTATGTCGGGTGATACAATAAGGCTCTAAAGCAATTGTCGAGAGTGGCTTTCGCCCGAGCTAAGTTTTAACAATAAACTTTGAAACCTTGCAAATGTACCTGAGTCAATTAACCCAATAACGACACCGCTGCCAAATTTCGATTCCCACCATAAGTTTCCCTTGTCGGATCCTCCTCCTGTTGGCTCGTTTAAGCCGGAAAATCCCCATGATCGTGTTGTGTCCAGCTCGTATCTGCTTCCCTTGCTCCGGAACACAGACTTCACGTCCTCCATTTCTGCCGAAAAGGATTCAAACCAGTTAACACAATTAACCATTGATTAACGAACCCACGCAAAACCCTTTGTTGATAAATTTAGTTGCCCACCCGAAAGTTTGAGAGCTTCGGGGGAAGTGAGAAGCGCTGCGAAGCCACCGATTTTCTTGTAACTGTAGAGAAGAGAGGACGATGCATCCTCTGTGTTTTCCTTAACAGATAATAGGTATGAATGGTGATATTCTTCAATCTCTTGGTGTGTTTTGTTAACACCATCATCTCCCAAGAGCACAATGTGTACCTGTTAAAATTGTTACAAAATATTTCTATTATGCAGACTATATATGTGTGTGTGCATTGGTTCAAATAAAAATTAATCTCGTATATTTGATACTATATTCAATATTACATGGTGAAATAAGTAAGAACCTTTTTATGATCCTCAAAGGGTGAAACCAGAAAAGGGAGAAGGAAAAAGAGAGCTATGGATAAGTAAAAAAAAATTCCATTGTTAATTAGAAATGCTATTTAGGTCCGTATGGGCTTCACACAAAATCTTCAACTTAATATCTCTCTATTTATAGAGGTTTTTTATCATGATTTTAAATTCGTAGGTAAACACCTATTTGGTATTTGGATTCCTATTTAGATAGAGAAATAAATAAATCAAATAAGGAACTATTGTTAACTAGGTTAAATTAACTTATAATGCATTTTATCTACAATAATAAATCATTAAAATGTAATAAATGTATAAATCATTAAAATATAATAAATGCACAAACTAAAAGAGGTTGTTTTTACATGCAAATTTCAAAATATTTGATTAGATCTGTAAATTTTGAAATGTGATTATTGTTTTTACAAATAAGTTTTCAAGAGTAAATCCATGTATATTATATTATATACATGCCCGCCCATGTACACAGTTTTTCAACTCAGACCGGCCGGATGGGTCAATTCGGGACCCGATCGATCCGAACCCATGATCCATCTGGCCGGTGGGTGCTTCGAACTGAATATGACTTCATAATCTAGTCAACCTGGCCTTGACCCGATTAATCCGAGCATCGACTCGGCATGTCAACTCGTGTGACTCGGTTCCTAATTTTGTTTAGATATATTTTTTATTTAAAAAATAAAAAACTGTTATAAAGTATTTATTTTCTATTACTTTTATGTATATTCATGTGAATATTTTAACATTTAAAAATTAATTATTCAATTTGACAATTGACTTGGTGATCAGACAATGTTACCTATGACCCGATGACCTAAAGGCTTGCCCAGGTCGATTTTGGGCTGATTTCAAAAAGTAAGCCCATGTATGCCAAATTGGCCAAATTTAGGTCCAATATCTCCAATTGCAAATATAGCTGACACTAAAAGTAAAAGAACAGGTCATCTATATGATAAGTGTTAAAATAAAAACAATGATAATTTACAGGGTTTAGACTTTAGTTTATTTTACCCAAAACTTAACTTATTTAATTTGAAAGCAAAATAAATAAATAAATAGTTAAAAAGTTTTAAAAAATACTTAAGAAGAGTAAAACATGTTATATTCGTAACGATAGAAAATAATAAGTTTGTCCACGTTAAGAAATGACCATTAAGAACTTTCTAGCAGACAAAAGTTAAATTTTGACGTTGTTTAATCTAGAGTAAAATAAATTTTACACTAGAGTCGAGTAGAGAGTTGAAGATGGTCTTACCAATTTTTCATTGTAAATTTCTCTATCACGTTTCATATCTGCAGACAGATAACACTTTAAATAATTTAGACAATATCTATATCTATATCTATATAATGGACGAATCCATTTTGCCAAAAATGGACGAAGTTTTCCCGCTTAAAATTTTTCGGACAAAATTGGAAATATTGTTTGTATACCAATTTGTGGATAATTTTGTTAGCAAATATTTTGGAAATATTGTTTCTATAACAGTCCCGTGGATAATTTTGTTAGCAAATATTTATTGATCCCGTGGATCTTGCTTGGATGTGAGCAATGATTCTATTAGCAACTATTTTGTTAGCAAATATTTTGTTAACTTTAGGAGGATATATTATATTTTGGACGATAGATTTTTTTAGCAAAGATTTTATTGTTAATTTATATAAACATGGTATCAATAAAAAAATAGAAGGATTTTAATTGCATTTTTTTTTTTTTTTGCAAATATTAATATAAACATATTGCCATCTTTATGTCAATTATAATTAGTTTATTAATTAATATACACATATTATCATCTTTACGTGAGATGTGATTATATAAATCTTGATTAAGATTGACACTACAGTCACAAAAAATATATTTTATACGTACTCAACCAACAAAGGTTCAAAAAAATACCTCCCCTTTTTGTGTCAATCAAAAAATTGACGAACGCATTGCCACAAATGGCTCTTAAACTTTGTCTAATTAGGATGTACGAAAGGGTTACAACCCTAGGAAACGTGATTCACTTTATTGAGTGCATCTTTCATGATTGCGAAGTGCGTATATTGTAAAATATTATTAGTCTAGCTATCTAATGTGCTATTCATATTTATTGTTCATTATTATTCTACTAGCTATCTAATGTGCTATTGATATTAAATCTAGCAATATGTAAATTTTTCCTTTTTTTTTTAATTTGATATGTTTATGGTGTGTGGTTCACAAATATTGTTATTTTAATCATACACATTAGTTTCATATACACGCATATAATACAGAAGGTTTCATCATA